CCTCTCCACATTGGGCACTCACCCCACTAATATTTCTTCTTATCCCTTTGTCTTTCTCATTAGACGATCTGATGGTACGACCAATCTTCATTACCTCAAGGTATAGTGTCCATGGTGTCGAGTTCGAATGCTCTGCTCATTTGGTCCATCTTTTGACCTTCCGTACCTTCAGGTCGAAATTCAACGAGGCCATTCGAGGGACTTAATTTGACCCATCGGTGTTATCTGACTCGATGCCGCCCCATCGACCTGTTTGTCCATCCGGTTCGATCACGCTGCTTCTCGAGTCCAGTTTACCCGACGCGGTTATCCCATATCATGTAACAAGTTATGTAGAAACGGTAAAGTTACTCTTAGACAAGTTTATAATCGTTTGGGCAGTCATATTTTTTTTGAATAGATATGCCTATTTTCCCAATGTCATATCCTAAAAAATATATAAACATATTTATAATATTTTATTTGTTAATATGTATTTTGTATTAAACATATTTATATTATGCGGTTAATGTTGCAATTTCAATGAAATGAAAACTCAGTGACTTTTAGAACAAAGGTAACTATTTTGATTATTATACTTTATGCTATATTTCAAAGTTCAAAGTCCAAAAGTTTATTAAGGCTCGTAGGTTAGCCTATGTAAGTTTTATTAATTTTCATGGCTGACCTGTATGTACGGACATATTCATCACTTAAGAGTCCGTATTAGTTTATTTTTAATATGAGTTAAAATGTATGATTAAAGTTGACATGATCTATAAGTAGTAAAATAATGAATGATAGGTAAAAAGATACGTGTGGGTACGTGAATAATGAAATTAATTGAAAATTGCATAATAATGATTGATTACCAAATTTTATTCATATGTAATTGTTATATTTTATGAACGACTGTCGAGAACCATTAGCACTTATATTTTGAGAATTTTCTCTCGACTTTATTTGCTTTCTTTCTTCCTAGCTACCATCTTTTTAAAAAAATAATAGTAAAAAAATAAACCACCATAAATATTTACAGCATGTTTCAGATGAATCACTATTGAGTGTGTAAACTTAATTACATATATATATTGGTTTTTTTTTTTTTTTTTTTTCGAGTGAAAATGTATCAATAACGTGACACTGACACATACAATGTTATTGTTGGATTAATTTTGATGTTTTGAACAATTCATTTGAAATCTTCTGTGAGACCTCATACGGGTCATGGGTCAGCCCATTCATATTGCCAAAGTCTGGGTTGATCGGGTCAACCCGAAGAAATTGGACCCATTT